CATAGGAGAGTTATAGGGTAGTAATGGGTAGTCTTAATCTGATGTTAGTAACAGTGTAGAGAGGACCCAAAGGACTTAGTAAGGGGACCTAGGCTACAACTATCCTACACAACAGAAATACAGAATACAAGCACTAGAACATAGTTGGAACTTACAGAACAGGCAGAGAGAGAGAGTGAGACAAGAGTAGAGTATATAGAGTGAGCCTAAGAGTACAGGACTACCTAGAGTAGACAAGATCAAGACTACAGGACTAGTCTGATCTTGTATACCTATATATACTAAACTATACAAGAGTACTCAGAGAGTATGAGTCACTAAGAATGATAAGCTATAAAGAATGAAAGAAAGGAAGGTCAAAGATAAAGGTACAAAGAATGAAGGGATGGATAAAGGGTAAGAGACTATAGAATGAACAAAGAATGAAGGGGTGGTCAAAGGAATGGAATGATGAAGTAAGGAAGGGTAGTAGTAAGAGTCAGTATACATATAGTCTATAAACAGTGCTCCTAAGGGATAGAAGTCCTGAGTTCTGGTACAGAAGGGTGCAGAACCCTTAGAACTAAAGGTAAGAGAGTAGAGAACTGTAACATCACCCCCCCTCTAAAACCAATCATCCTGATTAGTAAACATTGGGCTTGGTCAGCAGTTTAGACATAGGTTAGAACAGTAGGGTTTGGAAATCTGTGAGGCAGAGTTGACACAGAGCACCTAGATGAAGTTGATAGAAGTCTTGGATTGTCTTAACAGTATGAGTGAGATTCTTAGCAGGTTCCCAAGTGTGTTCTTCAACTGAGTATTCCTTCTAGTAGATAAGGAACTTAAGCTTTCTGTATACTAGCTTAGTGTCTACTACATACTCTACTTTGTATTCCAGTTCAGAACCAATGAGTTCTAGTAGAGGTAGTAGGAGTCTTTGTTGTGAAGGAAAACCTGGATTATAGTACTAAGACAGTAGAACCTTGTTAAACACTAGGTGTATACACTTCCATATTGTTAGAAGTTAGAGTTTGTAGACAGAGACACTAACCTTCTTTTCAATAATAAAGGGTCTGAAGTGCTTGTTGTCCAACTTCTTCATTAGACAATCTGTGGTCAGGTTAGTAGCTTCTAGCATAACTTTGTCACTAGGCTGGTAATCCTTGGCTACAGACCTCTTCCAATCATAGTTCTACTTTATAACCTGTACTACTTTTTCTAAAAGAGCTTGTGTGTTCTCCCTGGTTCTGTGCATTTGTTCTACAAAGTCTGTTACAGATTCAGAACTGCTATTCTAGTTTAGAACTGTCTCCTAGTACAGATGTCTCTTATAATTGAGGAAGAACAGAGACTGTCCTATTATAGAGTGTTACTAGTTATTGTACACAAATTCTGTCAGAGCTAACCATTCAGACCAGTCTGATTACTAATGATTAATGAACATTCAGAGGTAGAGCTCAATCTCCTGATTGACTTACTTAGTTTGACTGTCAGTCTGTAGGTAATATATAGTAGAAGGGTTCCCTTGAATTCTAAGAAGTACATACAAGTCTTATATAAACTTTGACTTGAATTATAGTCTGTAATTGTGAATGAGCTTCTAAGGGAGTCTATGTAACCAGAAGACATAATCCTAATAGATACACACTATACCTTCAGAAGTGAGTTCTGTTTAGGTTGGAACTATATGAACTTACTTAGAGAATTAGTTGACAATCATACAAATAGTATTATAACCCTAAGACTTGGGTAGCTTACTGATCAGGTCCACCAAGACTTCTTCCTAAGAGTGATCTAGGATCCAATACAAATGTAGGGGAGCCCAAACCCTTGTCTAGTAGGCCTTAGTCTGTTAGCATGTATTACAACTAGTCACATACTTCAGGATTTCCCTCTACATTCCTAGCTACTAGTAGTTCTTGTTAGTAACAGTATAGAAGGAACTTAAAGGCTCAGTAAGGGGACTCAGGCTACAACTATTCTACACAACAGAAATACAGAATGTAAGTACTAGAATGTAGTCAGAACTTGTAGAACAGGCAGAGAGAGAGAGTGAGACAAGAGTAGAGTATATAGAGTGAGTCTAAGAGTATAGGACTACCTAGAGTAGACAAGATCAAGACTACAGGACTAGTCTGATCTTGTACACCTATATATACTAAACTACACAAGAGTACTCAGAGAGTATGAGCTACTTAAGAATGATAAGCTACAAAGAATGAAAGAAAGGAATGTCAAAGATAAAGGTACAAAGAATGAAGGGATAGACAAAGGGTAAGAGACTATAGAATGAACAAAGAATGAAGGGGTGGTCAAAGGAATGGAATAATGAAGTAAGGAAGGGTAGTAGTAAGAGTCAGTACACATATAGTTTATAGATAGTACTCTCAAGAGACAGAAGTCCTGAGTTCTAGTACAGAAGGGTGTAGAACCCTTAGAACTGAAGGTACAAGAGTAGAGAACTATAACATCACCCCTCCTCTAAAACTAATCATCCTGATTAGTAAACATTAGGCTTGGTTAGCAGCTCAGGTATAGGTTAGAACAGTAGGGTTTGGAAATCTGTAAGGTAGAGTTGATACAGAGTACCCAGATAAAGTTAATAGAAGTCTCAGATTACTTTAGTAGTATGAGTAAGATTCTTAGTAAGTTCCTAAGTGTGTTCTTCAACTAAGTATCCCTTCTAGTAGATAAGGAACTTGAGCTTTCTGTACACTAGCTTAGTATCTACTACATACTCTACTTTGTATTCTGGTTCAGAACTAATGAGTTCTGGTAAAGGCAGTAGGGGTTTTTGTTGTAAAGGAAAACTCAGATTGTAGTACTAAGACAGTAGAACCTTGTTAAACACTAGGTATATGTACTTCCATGTTACTAGAAGTTGGAGTTTGTAGACAGAGGTACCAACCTTCTTTTCAATAACAAAGGGTCTGAAGTGCTTATTGTCCAACTTCTTCATTAGGCAATCTGTGGTCAGGTTAGTAGCTTCT